TGGGTTGGCTCAGCGAGATAGACCACCGACTCAGAATTTAAATTTTAAGGTTTATTATTAAGCTAGCCAGCTGACCACAGCCCGCACCTTCCCCCTCTGGGAAGGTTTGCAGCATGTGGCCCCGACCAAGGGTGCAAGATCTTTTTTTATTGCCAACTACACAGTGTTAGAAAAAAAGAAAAAACTAACTACAAAGCGGTTCATTAGCCGTTCCTGGTACTGGCGGGGGAAAAAGTTTACATAAAATTTACGAGCAGGGTCATACCTGGCTGGGTTCAATCATAACACATTGCTTTTCTAGCGAGATAATTAGCAGTTTTTCTCTCCCATGGCCCCTGCCCTTGACACAATCGGTAACTTTTTCCAGGCCGCAGTCCCTTCCCCCAACACATTCAGTAAGTTTCTCATGTTTCATTTCCTCCCCCTAGCACAGTCTCCATTATAGGAAGGTCTTGAGGCATTCCAGGGCCTATTGTAATCACCTAAAGCCAATTCTAGGTCAAGAAAGAAGTTTAACTCCATTTACCCTTAGGTGTGGTCAGCAAATGACACCAATTGGATTTCTGCTATTTGTCTCCCTGAGTACTTTGATATAAGCTATTTGCCCTCTGGTTAGGGAGGCAAAATGAAAATCATTTACTCTCAAGTATCTGGTTTAGGGAAGATGGGATATACTCTGTTTAACCATCTCAGTTACCCTATTGTACTTATTCAGGCTTACTAACATGTGTCATTTATATAACTTCCTTTTAACATTTCTCTCTCTACAAACCTATAACTTTCACAAACATTCTTACAATTTAACTCACTATTTTTTCTTCAAAATGTATGTCCATGCCTCATGTCCTCTATTATCAAACCATACAATTTCCTTCCAATTTAATTAGAGAAACCTTAATTTCCCAATGATAACCAAAAAGTAAACAGCCAGTATTTCTTAGATTGACATTTATGAATACTCTTACTTTCGAGAAACATACCTTCAATTAAAAGACATTTCCAAATCTACTTTATAGATTTTCTGTAACAAAAGCTAGAATCAGGTGAACTTAAAACTTGTTGAAATACTTAGATGTTTATCATTTAACCCAGCAATGCTTCAAAGCTTCCATGTTACCAATTAGGCAAATGAGCCTGGAGAAAAGGGCAGAAGGGGGAAGGAGCAGGCCCTGCAGCCTCCTCTAGGACTTGCCGTTTCCAGGACTCCAGCCCCTTGTATTTAAAACTGACACATTTGGGGGTGATAATTTCAGATTCTGATAGTATTGGGATTGTTAAGTAAAGAAACTGTTCCTTGGGAAGGGGGTGAGAATGCTAGCCTTGGAATCTAAAGGCTCAATGAGGGGTCCCTTCCTTTTTCTCTCTGTGACCTATATGCTCCCTCTCTTTTGGGATGTCCACACTGTTGTGACCTCTGTTTCTGGCCCTCAAGACCAGCCTTTCCCTGGGCCACTTGTTCCGCAGTTGTGAGCATTATGTCAGCTTTCTATTTCTGCTTCTCCTCACCTCTACACACACAGACCTTCTGAGTTTCTCTTAACAACTCTTCTATACTTCTATCCTTCCAGTTCTCTAACTTTTGTAATTTTCTTCAGATATCAGGCCAACTATTGGTAACAAAATGTAATTTTAATATTCCTTGCCCAACGCATCCTCAGGGTCTGGCCCAGAGTACTTTCTCATTTGATCTTTTAGTCTTGGTAAAATTCAGAAGGCCCTTCTTCATTGCCTTGCTGAATATTAAAGGCTTTCTTTAGGTTCTGAGACTGAGGAACTGTCCTTAATACCATTTATTATTAGAGTTCCCTGAGATCTCTCATGTGTCCCCTATGGGCCTCATTGTTATGGTCCCACTGGGGCTCCTGGTTTAGAAATTTTACATCTGCTGGAAGCACTCCAGGGTGAGCCAGGTGCTCCCTTCCCCCGATAGCCATAGCCGACCTTCAGACATTCCCCTTTCTTCTCTCAATATAGACATTAACTCAGTCCACTATACACCTTGGGCCCAAAATGGGTCTAGATGCCCAGCTAAGCTACATGGGTCTTCCAACAAAGGCTTTAACTCTTTTTTTTTTTAACCTCCCTCACTTCAGAACTGATGAGTGGAGCATTTACAAAGCCTAATCCCCCTCTTCCCAAAGGCTCCTCTGTTAAGGGATGTAGTCCATTGGGAGGAGGTTGAGATGATGGGAAGGGGAGGCTGTGACTGTCTTTTTTTTTTTTAAACTTCTCCAACTCCTTTCGCAACCTAGAAAGAGTGGTTTCTGGTGGCACAGAGGCCTCAGGAGCGGTTGAAACCTTATTAGGAAAGCCCTCCTCCTGAAGGGGAGGCTGGGATTGTAAACTAGCTATCTTGGATGTTCCCTCAGATTGTCTCCCTGTCACAGAGGTTGGGAAGACAACTCATGGGATCCCACTTCTCGGTCTACCTTAGTTCTCCTTTAGGCTGCCCTGCCTTTAGAGGGAGCAGGACGACTGGCCCCATCCTCCAACAGAGAGCATAGTCAATCTCCTCTTGAGTAACTGGACTTTTATCATTAACATATTTATAATTATCACTGTAAAGCTTTATCATAAACCTTCATTTTAGTTACATCTATTTATTACATCTTAACAACTTTGAGTTCTTAATGTCAATTATTATTACCCAAAGTATTTTCTTTTTTTAAATTTTTTTTTGATTAGTTAAATCTTTATTGTTCAGATTATTACATTTGTTCCTCTTTTTTCCCATAACTC